GCCGGAGTAGTAATCATGGCTCCCGATGGCGCAATAATTGAGCAGGCCGTCAAGCTCGGCTTCGAAGCATCAAATAGCGAAGCTGAATACGAAGCCCTTCTAACCGGTTTGCGTAATGCACATCTTCTGGGTGCTCGGCGTTTGCTTGTATTTTGCGATTCAAAACTGGTGATCAATCAGCTAAAGGGGGAGTACGCGGCAATAAATGACTGTATGGCGGCTTACATGAAAATGGCTAACTCCTTGCTAGCAAAATTTGACCATCATGAATTCAATTAGATAACACGTGATCAGAACACACATGCAGATGCCCTGGCATGTCTAGCCTCTGCCATTAACTCAGAAATTAAACGGACCATCGAAGTAGGTTTCATCCCGGAGCCGAGCATTGGCCCTTCGGAGGAAGTCCAGGTCAATGTTATAGAATTTGGACCGAGTTGGATGGATCCCATTACTGCATTCTTGTCTTCCAAACAGCTCCCAGAGGACAAGAAAGAAGCGCACAAGCTACGAAACAAAGCCCTGCGATACTACTTGGATCCGCAAGGAAAGCTTTACAAAAAATCCTTTTCTGGTCCATACTTGGAATGCGTGCATTCGGACAAAGTCGAAGAGCTTCTGACTGAAATACATGAAGGCAGTTGTGGCGCCCATTTTGGCGGGCACTCTTTGGCTCATCGAGCCATGACACAGGGGTATTACTGGCCGACAATGAGAGCCGATGCCGAATGTTACGTGAAAAAGTGTGAACAGTGCTAGAAATTCTCTCCTTTGACCCACTTGCCTACTGAAGAGTTAAGCTCCATAACCAGTCCTTGGCCGTTCGCCCAATGGGGACTTGACATCGTCGGACCACTGCCTTGTGCCCCAGGTAACAAGCGATTTTTTATTGTCGCGACAGATTATTTTACAAAATGGGTAGAAGCGGAGACACTAACGCACATCCGAGATACTGACGTGAAGCGTTTCATTTGGAGAAATATCATAACACGAGTCGGCATTCTAAGAGCACTCATTTCAGGCAATAGCACCCAGTTTGATTGTGGCGTCTACCAAGAGCTGTGCAGCAAGTATGGTATCCGTCCTTACTTTTCCACGCCAACTTATCCTCAAAGCAATGGTCAAGCTGAAGCCTCTAACAAATCCATCTTAGACGACATCAAGAAAAGGCTGAAGAAAGCTAAAGGCAAATGGGTCGAAGAAATGCCGAGTGTGTTGTGGGCTCATCGAACTACGCCGAGGCGATCTACTGGGGAAATGCCGTTTGCTCTATGCTTTGGAACCCAGGCAATCATACCCTTGGAGATCGGCCTCCCAACCTTGAAATCGAAAGTTTTTGATATGGGCCAAAACGACATGATGCTGGCCTTGGATTTGATTCTGATTAAAGAACGAAGAGACCGTGCCCTTGCATCTATGGCGCAGTATCAGCAGCAGCTTTCTAAGTCATATAATCAACGTGTTCAGCTGCACTGCTACACACCAAGAGAGTTGGTTATGAAGAAAGTACTCACAGTTTCCAAGAAACTGGCTAATAGAAAATTGGGTTCTAACTGGGACGACCCCTATCAGGTCGATTCGATCGTGGGAGTAGGGGCATATCGACTCAAAGACATGTCTGGAAAGAGTCTGTCACGACCTTGGAATTCAACGCACTTGCACAAATTCTATCATTAAACCCGACCTGTGGGGAATGATACTAGTTTTTAATGATTCACCATGTACACAGTCCACTTTTGTAATGCAAAGATTCCAGTTTACATACTGCGAAATCCAGTTGAAAAGTGTTCCAATAAAAGCCTCCGGATTCGGAGCGCCCTTCGTGGATATCACGATTGGCCAAATAAAGTCTCTGGATTCGGAGCCTCATCGGTGCATGACGCCTTTGGGCCAAAAAAGCCTCCGGATTCGGAGCGCCCTTCATGGATATCACGATTAGCCAAATAAAGTCTCCGAATTCGAAGCCTCATCGACGTATGACGCCTTCGGGCCAAAAAAGCCTCCGGATTCGAAGCGCCCTTCGTGGATATCACGATTGGCCAAAAAAGTCTCCGGATTCGAAGCCTCATCGGCGCATGACGCCTTCGAGCCGAAAAAGCCTCCGGATTCGGAGCGCCCTTCGTGGATATCACGATTGGCCAAATAAAGTCTTCGGATTCGGAGCCTCATCGGCGTATGACGCCTTTGGGCCGAAAAAGCCTTCGAATTTGGAGCGCCCTTCGTGGATATCACGATTGGCCAAATAAAGTCCTCAGATTCGGAGCCTCATCGGGGCATGACGCCTTTGGGCCGAAAAAGCCTCCGGATTCAGAGCACCCTTCGTGGATATCACAATGGGCCATGTTTAAGTCTCCAAATTTGGAGCCAGGGCCATGCGTAACACGTGTATGCCGAATAAATATTTAATGTAGAATGCTCTGTTATGTCGAGCCGGCGAAAACTGTTTACACATTAAAGCATATAAACATTCGAAATGAAATGCTTAGTTAACTTGGGCCAGTCAATGTTTATTCAATCATTTAAAATACATTTATTCAAACATTTATACAATGAAACACAAAACATGCAAACACGTGTGTGCCGAATAAAAATTACAACAAAACACAAATATTTAAAATAAAACATTTTATTCGATCAGCCAATGATTACATAGTTTTGAGCGCAATCTACGTTTGAGCATTACATTGAGTATTTTTATGCGGTGTCTCCCTCATCCTCACTCTGCTTGACTTCAAAGGCGGAAAAGGGAAAATAATTACGTTGGTATAGTGGCAACGCCGAATCAACGCTCGCTGCTCGGAGAGCTTCCTCGGCTTGAAGTGCCTTGATCCAACCGTGCTTAAATCCACGATTTTCACATCAGCAAACTTCCTTGGCAAGCTTTTCCCTAATTTTCTGTATCCCTACTTTCCGGCCTTCATGGAAGCCTTTTTCATAGGCCCTCCCCTTCGCGAACTCTATTGCGAACATGCTCGCCGTATCACGATCGGCAAGTGCAGTACTGATAAGTCGCTGGGTGACCCTTTCTTCCATGATTGGGTTAGCCTGTCCGGCTGGTTATGTCTGAGCGGCCTTAACCTTCCTTAGCTCGCGCTCAGCCGCTTCCGCGCGAGCTTCCAAGCTTCGAATGCGTTCATCCTTCTTCTCTATTTCTCGTCGGGCAGCACGAAGGCGCATGCCGATTTCGTAGGCGGTGTACAGCCTTTTCACCGCCCCATGAACTCCCTCTCGAAACACCTCGAAGTCAGGTCGACCAACCATCGACTGCTGGACTTTTGACAGAAAGATTTGTCGTGCAAACTCGACTGCCACATTCGGGTCCCGAATGATGGAATCTGCCTCTGTCATCGGTCTATTCCCAACAAAAACAGAAAAGCTCGATGGGTGTGGTGGCCCACTGGCCTCACTTCACAAACGAGGGGAGCTCCCCCGCTGGCACTTCTCCTTCCTGGGTGACCTACTTCGTCAACGTGGAGAGTGGCGCCTCTCGTGTTCTGCAGATGCCCTAACCCCTGTATGGGGAGGTTCGCCACTTTGATTCATTGTTGAATCCAACTCTACCAACGTCATGCCCTCTCCTTTACTGTTAAAGAAAAGTCTGGTTGACATTCACGCTTTTCTGGCCACGAAGGACAAGCAGAATCGAGTCGTTTTATGAGACTCAGATGGAATTTCTCAACCCCTTTTTAATCACTCAGGAGTGCACCCCACTCCCGAGGCGACATCATCAATGTGCGCACTCCAGCAACCACCAATATTCAGCATTATTGATTCATTCCGATCTAGAATTGCTATTCAGCTTTCGGAGTTCATAAATTGACTGGGGCAAGGGCAGATTTATTAATCTGATCGGCTAAATACCTAAGCCTAATGCCGACCAATTTGTGCCACAACCACTCCATGAACTAGTGCTATTCGGCTTTCGGAGTTCATACATTGGCTGGGGCAAGGACAGATTTATTAATCTGATCGGCTAAATACCTAAGCCTAATGCCGACCGATTTGTGCCACAGCCACTCCATGAACTAGTGCTATTCGGCTTTCGGAGTTCATACATTGGCTGGGACAAGGACAGATTTATTAATCTGATCGGCTAAATACCTAAGCCTAAAGCCGACCGATTTGTGTCGCAGCCACTCCATGAACTAGTTCTATTCGGCTTTTGGAGTTCATACATTGGCTGGGGCAAGGGTAGATTTATTAATCTGAATGGCTAAATACCTAAGCCTAATGCCGACCGATTTGTGCCACAGCCACTCCATGAACTAGTGCTATTCGATTTTCGGAGTTCATACATTGGCTGGGGCAAGGGCAGATTTATTAATCTGATCGGCTAAATACCTAAGCCCAAAGCCGACCGATTTGTGCCGCAGCCACTCCATGAACTAGTTCTATTCGGCTTTCGGAGTTCATAAATTGGCTGCGGTAAGGGCAGATTTATTAATCTGATCGGCTAAATACCTAAGCCCAATGCCGATCGTTTCATGCTGCAGCCACTCCGTGAACGAATAATATTCGGCAACATTAAATTTATTAATCTGATCACATTTATTAACCCTTAGATACCTAATAGGCAAATTTACATAAACGTTTATCTACCGCGCGATAGACTGTAGTAGTTTTTACCCAAAATAAATAAAGCAAAACAGTAATCCTCATTGATAACAACAATTAAGTACAGGAAATAATGCAAGGCGAGGGAAATTTTCATTCATAAAGTGATTACAGATAGTCATCATTTTATACATGAAGATTGCCCCAAGTAAATATATGTTTACTAAGAAAACAAAACATGATTACAAAAAGATACATTGAAAATACCTAACAAAACTAAAGTGATCCCCGAATCAATCCTCGGGATCAAACTCAAGCGGCTCAACGTCCACTTGCTCGTATGGAATCAAAATGTCCAATGTCACTCTAGTGGCAGCAAGGGCTTTGAGCCAACCATGTTTGAATCCCCGATTCTCGAATTTGGGGACCTTTTCTACATAGTTTACAAGAGCGGCGCTCTTCCCAGCCTTGAATGTTTCGGAAGCCTCGGAGTCGGCTTTTTCTTTTGCCGCCTTCGACTCTGCCAATTCGGGCTCCAGCTTGGCAAGCGCCTCCTTGGCTAACTTAAGCAATTCCTGAATCGCGTTTGCCCTCTCCTCGACTTCCGATTTGAGCTGGTTAGCAATCTGCGCCCTTTCCTTCTCAGCTTCGGCCCGCACACTTTCCATTGTGGCTCTCATCGCCTCAAACTCGGCCCTGTTCCTCTGACCCTCGACTTCGGACTGCAAACGGCCAATCCTTTCAACGGCATCATGCTGGCGGCGGCCTAATTCGGCGATCCTTTCGGCCGTCTGCAAAACAAGTTGGGATCATCACATACCAAGAAATACTGTTTGCAAACAAAACCAAAACAAGGAGTTAGGATAAAGTCACATACCAGGCGGGCCGACTGGGCAGCTAACGCTATTGCTACCAAATCTGGCTCCGACCGAAAGGTTGCCTTGTCAGCCAGCAACGAGACCGAAGTAGCCAAGCTCAACACAACAGCGAGATCCTTCAAGGCTGACGTTTCGGAGGAGATCGGCGTGTTTTTTATCTTTGGTTGAACAACGAAAGGAACAACCACATCCGACTCCTCTAAGCGTGGGCGTTTATCAACAGGGTTCTCCTCAGAGTTGACCTCGTCCTCGGCGGCACGTTTCTCTTCCCGATCTTCTGAAATCGACCGATCGGCTGCCTTTTCCGTCTCGGCCACGTCAACGTGAGCCGTTTCTTCTACAATAATGGGTTTGGAAGATTCATTCGGGATAGGTCCAGAACGGGTGGCCTCGACTTTTCGTCGGGCGGCCTCGACTTTTCGTCTGGCGGCCATGCGTTCGGCATCTCTCTTTCGCGCCATCTGCGTGAGATTTTTCTCAGCCATACCCTTAGAATAAGTGCCGGAAAGGTCTCCCAAATTTGTAAAAATATCTTCGAAGGCATCCCCTCGGCCTGATGTAGACGGAGGATCAGACGAGTTTAGTTTGGCTTCCTCAAAGGCCGAGTTAATTACTTCGTCAACCTTTGCTGCCAACCGGTCCGGGTCCTCAGCGATCGGTTCATCCGCTTGTTTTTCTACGTGTTTAGAATCGGATGTTTCTAAACCAATCTGTCTCAAGTTTTTGAAGCTAGGAAAAATGAGGGTTGTAAGATGGTTGTCTCCTCGTGGGATCGGAATGTTGTCTGCTGCCGAGAATGTCGTGTAAGTCGGCTCGTACCGCAGGAGAATGTGGGCCACCCTCCCTTGTTTTTGAAGGTTTGGACGGCCGACGAACTGTAGCGCGGTTTTGATTTCTACAAGCACAACGTCGTCGTCTGAAACTAACACTCTCTTCAAGTCGCTGCCTATATAAACAAAACGATTAGATGTATATAGTGTCGAGTACAAATATGGAAATAACAGAAACAAAAGTGATCTAATCGGCCACCTGGTTCGCCTTTTCGCCTTGGCACAAGGTCTAGGCGATCTTTACCTTCGCCGAATTCCCAATTGCCGCGGACAACAACCATCACGTCATTGGCGCGCTTGCCAGAGCTGGCAAGCATGGTCACTAAGTGATGATCAGTATCCATGGCTCTAAGAAAGTAGCATCCTAGCCGGCCAGTAGACTTGGCTAGGACATAACAGTGCCGAATGGCCGGTATACCTAAATTAATCCTAAGACGCCGATTTAGCTCTACAATTCCCATTATGATGCGAAAGAAATTCACGTTGGATTGGGAAGGGATTAGACCCCAGTATCGAAGAACGGCCCTCAAAAATGGGTGAAGGGGAAAGCAGACTCCGCCCTCAGCAATTGATAGGAGAGGAAAGACAATTGTGCTCTCATCATCCCTCTCCATATCAGTGGTGCTGTCTGCCAAAAGTGACAGATGGACGTCATCGGGGATGGAAAAATGGTGTCGAAAACCAGAGATTCGATCTGCTGAAAGGAGCTCCTTCAGATGTTTTGCCATTTTGGCCAGCCCAAGGATTATAGAAAACTAAAACAAAACAAGGAAGCGGGACCAAAAATGAGGGAGAAGAAAACTTACAGGAGACAAAGGGAAAAACGAGAAACAAGGAGTTACAGAGGCTGCGAAGTGGAGGAGTTGCACTAGAAGGCGAGCCAGATATCTTTGAATATTCAGAACATACATTCGAAGAGACAATTTCAAATCACATTAAATGGAGGCAGTGTACAAAGGGGCAGGAAATCGTTACAATGACCAAAAAACGTGTACGCATTCTGACACGTATTGGGAAGAGGATTAACTGCCGAACTTTTGAATTCCCAGGCTAGACGCCAAACACAGCGACTAACTGATGCTAGTGGGGTGTTTGGGGGGCAATTGTGGGAGCCGAATTTCCTTGGATCAATAGAGACAAGTGGACTAGTCTGGTCCAAAACATAACTTTATTCGGCATTGACCCTAGTCAATTGAAGAGCCGAATAAAATAGCCGGCATTCCAACCAATAGAACAAAGGCCGAGTAGAAGTGCATGTAAAAGATCAAGGTTGGGCTAGGCCCTAAGGCCCAAAGAGAACACTATAAATACAAGATCTTCAGTCAGAGAAAGGTATGCGAGAACTAGCAAATTTAACTTAAGATACAAGTAATCAAGAGAATATACACTGACTTGTCCGTTGGAGTGCTAATTCCGGCACCCCCGACCGGAGTGTTCATTCTTTTTCAGGTGACAAGCTAAGGATCACGGGCGTCCTCCACAGGATCCGAAGACTATTTCCAAACCACTTCCCCACACGTACATTCCTGTAGAGTTTCACTCTAAAAGCACATACTAGTTAAGTGAGAACCAAAATGCCCTTATGAGGGGATAGTGTTACCCTGTCCTAGTTTCGTCAGGAATTAGGGTTGACTACTTCAAGCAAAGTGGTTTCACACAATCCTGCATTCGGGTAAGCAACCTGTCCTAGTTTGGAACAGTTTCTATGGCTTTCGATATGCAACTAGGCTGATTGGTCAAAAAGGGTACCTTAGCAAGACTACCTAATATACCTCTCACACCTAACACTGAGAAGTGAAAGGTGGATCAAACGGTACAGCGGTAGTCCAAATCCAAGGGCTGTGTTCCTATCGTGGCAGAGCCCGCGACCGATCAGCCTTTTGGCAAGCTTTCAGGCAAGCCTTCAGCAAACTGTCCAGGAATAGGAGATAGCAAATACATTGACTTAAACGCACCAATGCAAATGTAATGCAAAGAAACATATAAGAGTAGATAAAATGTCATATCATGAGTTGGAGTCAAGTTCTCTAATTCCCCAGCAGAGTCGCCAGAAACTGTAGCTCGACTTTTTCGTGCCCCCTTTCGGGAGTTCGGAAATAAGCCCTACAGTTCAGACTCCCGTGGTTTTGAATCTAATCTCACAAGTGCAATTGAAATTGAATAAACACCAAAGAGTCCAAATCCGGCAAATCTTTCAGAAAATCGATTTTGAATCAAAAATGCCAAAATTGGACTGCTTTGCCAGATACAAAGTCGCCACCTAAATATTTTTTTGTTTTGGGGAAATTTAGGAAACCCATGACTCGTGCCAAAGGCCACGTGTTCGTCATCACCAAGATTGCCTCGGCTCGGGAAATTAGGTACGAGGGTAGAAGGTCATGAATACATTTGAGCACCCTCGCTCGCCCAATCAAAGATCGGCATCTATTAACTATGATATGATTTTTATCAACATTATATGCTCTTGCTCCGGTTTATTAGGCTAGCATTTACTATGTGATGCGCGCACACAAGATATAGACTAGTTTGCCCGAATTGGAACAATTCAATTTCATATTTGTTTTTCGAAAAGGGTTTGATTTTTCCACTTAACAAAGTGGGCTTAAAGTTTATGAATTTGCCACTTGACAAAGTGGACTTAAATATACATTCATTGAATCATTCCAATTCAAGCAACAAGCTTTCATCCATACGCACTCAAACAGTTATAGCAAGTAAGCACTTAACCTCATGGCAAGCATGATAGTCATGACAATCACTCACACTCATGCAAGTATGTTAAAGCACTAAAAACTCACCTAGTGCTCCAAGTTAAGATATAACAAAAGAGTTAAAAAAATGCACGTTCCTAATTAATGCAAAATGTCTAATGTAACGCATACAATATGCAATTACTAGGCTCGGTTACTAATATGACATATGAATTGATTTGATAACATGCGGTCTAAGCACGTATTCAAGGAAGTATTGAAACTAACAATGCAGTTAGAATGATGCGCCGAGCCTCGGTGCATGCAATACGAGATGAATGGATGCAAGCATGTGATATGCTAATTGAAACGTGATGTCCCTAATCTAACCATCAAAAGCAGATAAATAAAAGAGAGAAAGATGTGGGATTGGAAGACATACACATTATTACAACATTTATGCCCTCGCGGAGGAGGGTCCGAATGAACTAACTAGCTAACTAATTAAGCTAAGCTAATTATTACAAACCAAATGAATAAATAATTAACTACTTCTAAGCTAATTAAATATTACAACAATTAAATAATTAACTATGCTAAGTTAACTATACAACACAAACTAATTTAATTAATCAATCTAAACTAATTAAATTAGTACAAAACAAACTAATTAGCTACAACTAATTAATTAATTACAAAGTCACTAATTAAACTAGTTAACTAAATGACAAATGACTAATTTAAACTAATTAACTAGTCCGGCAAGCGAGGAAGGCCCATGCATGCTCAGTTTTCTCTCGAAGAACATCCACTGTCTGCCTCTCAAAGCCTCTGTTGCACAACCTTTGCATTGATTTTCCACCTCTGGACCAACTTTGTTCTGTCTCAGAAGGACACTGCTGAATTTTCACTAGTGGCCGACAGGGGGCCGGTTGGCTACTGCGGATGGTTGGTCGGCCACTGATGGCTTATTCCTCATTGCTGTAACAGAGGACAAACAGAGCAAAGAGAGGGTATTCTCACAGGTTGTTTGTACTATGTATCTCTCCTTATCATCAAAATATCTCAAATGAGTGATACACTTAGCTCTTAAACCATCAATCAAGCAATTTCATTGTATGATGGCCAAAGAACCAAGATGTACAAGTTCAATAAATGCACAAACAAGACTCAAAACCTTCACCCTATCATGCATGATCAAGGGCAATGGTGACCTAGGAAACTTAGCACATTTCATCACTTTGAGTATGAAATGCCCCAATTTTCCTTGTGTTCAATTAACGTCCGATTGAACACATCAAAACACAATCAAATTCTTATCTTACACAATTTTAGTTTCAACTTTTATTTACTTATTTTAGATTAGCAACCATTCATTAACCAATTAAGTTCATTGGTGATTAAGTCCTCTAAAAGGGAAGGAAGTGTTAAACAAGGGGTAGTTTAAGGCAAGAGAGAGGTATCATGCTGTTGTTAATGAACCCCTAAAAGAGGATTAAAATATTAAGCATTCACCTTAATCTCAAACTTAAACTATCCTATGATTAAAACAACCCTCAAAGCAAATGAAAAAGTCAAGAAATGAGGGAGGTTGCAGAGATTAATAGTGCTGAAATTAAGTGAGAAAAACACTAAAACATGTAATCAGCTCAAACAAGTGGTGTCCAAAACCTTAAAACACCAAGCTTATGAGGACACTTACACTACAAGCATGCAAAACAAGACTCAAATGCACTAAAAAGCCAAAAACAGAGGCAAAACAGTCTTAAACAGAGCCTAAAACATGCTGAAATTAAGCTACAAATGGCTAGAAAAATAAGCTAACACATAGAACTAACTAGGCTAGCAAACAAGGCATAAGGAGGGGAGGCTAACCCCTCCAAATTTAGACTTCAAAACATGATTTTCACCACTGAAAATACTCTGAAATTCAGTGTTTAA